ACTTTGAATTTCAGCGCCAAATGCTGGCTCTGTTCAACCTTGGACCCCCATTTACAACAACCAGAATCAAGATTCTTTGTCTTCTTTTAAGAACTGCCGGAATAACTTTCCTATCTTACTTCCCGTAACCTGAAACTTGTGTTTTCTCCACCAGGGTGCAAAATTGGTATAATGGTGGTCAAATTTGATTACCATGACATCATCACCGTAGTCATACTTAGCAAAGCTGTAGTCAAAAACAGCATTGCTAAAAATGACCACTCTTGACCAACCAAACCTCACCCCACTGAGTTCAAACACCCTTGTCAAAAGTCCTTACACTTGACTCCCAGCTGTTGTGTCTTTGCTATGCAATGTTAAACATATAAAACATCTTACTATTCATGAATGCGCCATGACTCATGTAATCTTTTCACAGCCAAGACGCTACTAAGGTACTGGGAATGTGGGGAGTGCAGCAGCATCAGTGCAGCACCGATGGTCGGATGCGACGGCTGCGATAAATGGTACCACTTCCGTTGTGCGGGGCTGACTAAGGAGCCAGGTAAGCGCAAATGTTTTCTGTCTCAGTATTTTTGTTGCAGCTATAGTGATCAATGAAATATTTTCCGCACTGTTCAGCCAAACATGTATTTCAAACAATCAGAATCTGCTTCCCAACCAAGGGCGTCACCACAGGGGGGGGGGGGGACAGAGGGGATCTCGTCCCCTCCACTTTTTAAAATTTTAACATTACGCCCATGGCGTTGCATGGAAAGAATCGACTTGAAATGGTCCTTGTCCCCTCCAAAATGGTCAATGTCCCCTCCAGTTGTCGCACCGTGGCGTCGCCCCTGTTCCCAACTACACAAATTTAGTCAAACAATGTGCCAATATGGAATTTTCAGGTTGAGTTGAATGAAATAGGAACAATGATAATTGTAGATTACGTATACCTGCAAGAGAGGAAAACAGAATACATTGTATTGCTTGTCCTTCACCGATACTGTTATTTTTCCATTTCTAGAAACACCGACATGGCGATGCAGGTGGTGCTGCCTGGTGAGGCCGCGGTCTCCGGAATCGCCTGCAGACGAAGTCACCTGACGTCCATCTGCACATCACTTGCAGCAGTGAGGCCTGCTGACAGCGTCTGGCAGTGTCGGCAACGTGCCAGACAGCTATCTGGAGTCCTGCTCACCGCAGGTCGCCGACAGGAGGGGCGACGCATCGTCTCCGAGGTCGCCTCAGCAGCAGTGAGACCCCACTGGCCGTCTTCTTAGGCTTCAACTAGATTGCGAACAACCTATGCTGAGACAACGCCCATGACGTGTGATCCGGTACCGCTACCGCACTGCGTGCCTGTGCCCGCCGTGAGCCGCTAGTGCATGGGTTCCGACGACCATGAGAATATGTGTTTATGTTGCTTTTACTATTGTTTATACGTTGAAGTGACGAATTGTTTATTTTTCGCAAGCCTCCGCTGTCCGGTTGCCTGCAGCTCCATGCAACGCTAGCTGTACTGTTGTTTTAATGTTGTCTCTCCGCTCAGCTCTACTGTTGCCTCTCCGCTCATAACAACCTATGCTGAGACAACGCCCATGACGTGTGATCCGGTACCGCTACCGCACTGCGTGCCTGTGCCCGCCGTGAGCCGCTAGTGCATGGGTTCGACCATGAGAATATGTGTTTATGCTGCTTTTGATACTGTTGTTTATACGTTGAAGTGACGAATTGTTTATTTTTCGCAAGCCTCCGCTGTCCGGTTGCCTGCAGCTCCATGCAACGCTAGCTGTACTGTTGTTTTAATGTTGTCTCTCCGCTCAGCTCTGCTGTTGCCTCTCCGCTCATAACAACCTATGCTGAGACAACGCCCATGACGTGTGATCCGGTACCGCTACCGCACTGCGTGCCTGTGCCCGCCGTGAGCCGCTAGTGCATGGGTTCGACCATGAGAATATGTGTTTATGCTGCTTTTGATACTATTGTTTATACGTTGAAGTGACGAATTGTTTATTTTTCGCAAGCCTCCGCTGCCCGGTTGCCTGCAGCTCCATGCAACGCCAGCTGTACTGTTGCTTTAATGTTGTCTCTCCGCTCAGCTGTACTGTTGCCTCTCCGCTCATATATGACACCCTCTATATGAATGGCACTACTGATTGTCACACCCACTGTCCGTATTGTCCGTAGTGGTGTCTGAGCAGTAATCGCCACGCACTTTCAGAATGTGGATCGCTCATGATTGTTCAATACAATACAATACAATACGCCCATGTTCATACAGCGTGCAGAATCCAGATTCTATTGAGGAGAGTTGAGCCAAGTCACCATAGGCTCGGGAAGAGAGCAACGTGGAGGCCCACTGCCCCTTCCCCGGCCCCCACTGGGGGCGCCAGCGCCCAGCCACTCAACTTTTGACTGGATGTCAAGAGCGTCGCCACGAGGGGAACGAGTCGCCGGCCAGCCAAGGTAGCCAACGGCGTGTGAAGGTTGCCTGACCTCGAGGAAACTGAGATGGCACCAACGGAGGTTTGTTAAGTAGGCGACCAAAATTCGAGCGGCAGCAATCTGGGCACCTTCACAGATAGCAGTGCCGCGTATCAGGGGCCAGGGCGCCTTCGACGTTTAGCTGGGCGCCGATCATCAGGACGCCGGGGGAATATGACCCAATATCCCCCGTAAATATGTGCCTCGGAAGGGAGACCCAACCATAAAACTGAAAGCTCGCCGTATTTTATCCACTATTTTTCGAGCAGGTCCAGTAGATTTCCGTCCTCAAAAGTGCGGGGATATTCCCCAGTGTTTGAGGTGGATGGGACTATAGTAGCGTTTACACCGACAGGAGATTCCCATTGCCGGCTGTGGGAAACTGCTGTCGGTGTAAACGCCATTCATATTTCCTGCGTCACCCCTGTGGGGACGCCCTTACTCCATGGTGCCGAGCTTATCAATTTGGATATCAATGGAATCAAAATCTCTTATCGATCGATGAAGAACTAAATTACCCCGACCCGGAGAGCGTCTTTGGAATCAAAGCAGTAGCACATGACGCAAGACTTCAGGCAAATAAATCGTTCTTGTCTGAAATAAAACATTTGTGTATTGATAAGCACGTTTTATAAGCAATGGTAGCAAGATTTTCCACGTATTTGGTGAAAGTGATAATTTAGTAGCAGATACTTACCGTCGCATTTCGTTTTTTTAATTAATAATTTATATTGTCAGAACTAGCAACATATCTCTTTACTCAACAAAAATTACAAAAGTGAAAAGGAAATGATAAATTGCCTATATTTTGGTAAAACTATAAATTAATTCAGCACACATTTTTTTTACAGCGTTGAAGTCCAGCTCCAAAGGACAGCTGACGATCGTAGCCGAGCAGGCTCTTTGGTACTTCTTCACTATTTCTTAGAAGTACCCGTTAGTACCGATCATGTCTCACATAATAAGCTATTGGAACAAAAATATGCATGTTCTTCTAATCATTCTCCTTTCACACTTTAAATAAATACTTTTGAAATGCATTTACTAATTAATTTCACAAAAACGGCTTGAAATTTTACAACGTCAAAATACTTATTCCAATTTCCACCGTGAAACCACCACTATGTTACTTGCTTACAGAACCGTGCGCACAGTGCGCGCAGTTTTATCGTGACGTCAGAGGGTGCTTCCTTAGTGGCGCCCCCTGGCGGGGAACGCGTGCAAAAAGTCCAGCTCTTAGGCATGTCCGACTATTGTCGTCCGAACGAATGTTGTCTAACGTGGTCTAAAGTTACACATTTGTCTTTTCTGCGCAGTATTTGTGTTTGCCATTTACCGCACCAATGTTCGCCAGCGGTGGTGACTTTTCCTTACCTGCTCACGAAACGTCACACACGACATGACGTCACCCGAAGACGTCATCAAAAAGTCCAGCTCTTAGGCGTGTCCCTTGTTTGGTTGTCCTACTTGTACTTGTTGGGTTAGGGCGCATAGGTGTTTTGGTTTGTTTGGTTGTCCGCGCGGATTGCAAGAATCACAACTGAAACTAGAGCGCCAGAACTGTCGCAGGCTAGCGTAACGAAATTAAAATTATGATTCCATAGCGCATCATAGCATAATAAATGTCAAATGACAACAAAAATAATGGAGGAAACCTACCGACAAACGCAGATCTATATTTACCTCAAACAACCATAATACAAGTGGGGTTCATCTGTTAACTCACCTGTTTGGGGTTCCCTGCCGGCTGCCTTCCAGAGTACAGTATGGGGGATAAAAGCGTATTTCAGCTCATGACCAGTTTCCTTTTCTTGTGGAAACAAGCAGCAGCGAAAGCGTGACATGCTTTACTACCAAGTCGGCTTCACCCCTGGGCTTTACTGTCATGCAGCTGCTACCACGCTGTGGTGACGATGATTTACGAGTTTAAGGCGTCCGCACTTCGGATGCCAACAGATTGAGATGCTTATTCTTTGGAGCGCTCTTGCGAGGAACATTATGAATATTAGAGAGAGAAAATATATGAAAAAATGACCTCTCCTCGACATTTAAAATTATTTGAATGGCCAAATATTTCTGTATTGATATTTCAACCAACAGGTCTTCTTCAGAATAAGACAATGTACACAATTGTATTCTCGTTCTCGTACAATTGTGTACATTGTCTTATTCTGAAGAAGACCTGTTGGTCGAAATATCAATACAGAAATATTTGGCCATTCAAATAATTTTAAATGTCGAGGAGAGGTCATTTTTTCATATATTTTCTCTCTCTAAGATTGAGATGCTATTATGCTGGGACAGGGAGAGAAGTCCTTTGTTAGAACAGGAAAAGAGGCCAGGGGCGGGATAAAGGCTTTGGTGACTACGGACTGAGCCAAGAATGTTCCAGTAGACGATCCATCAAAAAGCCGAAAAAAAATACAATAAGACAAGTGAGGAGTATACCGTGGACGCGGGGACAAAAAGATAAGTTCATCAATTCTAAGGTGCACCAAGTCAACGAACTGCTGGCATAGATACCATATCCATCATTTAGACACCTAAATATTATATTTAATATTAGCGAAGATGGAACAGTGATACAAATGCACACAAAAGTCACAAAATGCACATACATAACTGGGCTATATTCTGTCATTAAAACGCTGAGACTTCTAGCGTAATTACACGCAATTCGGCAGACAATACACACTATAATGTCTCACAAAAAGTAGTCTGCTCAGCAACCATCACGATAGCTGTAGCGTTGGCGCGTCACTCGTCGCATTTCATCAGGTCCCTAAACGTATTGCCGCACTGACACAGTATACTCGGCGCCGCGCCCACCCAGCACACACGCCCACACACCGGCCCCCGGCCCTGCGAACGGTGTACCACGCCGGCCGACCGCCCTGTAGCACCGTGTGCCTTACACAGCCTGTCGCGGGAAGCCCCCACCATTGTCCTAGGGCGCGCTCATAGCAGCTGGTTCAACAGTTGGACAAAGGACACCACGAGCGACTTCACCTGCTCCGGATCTCCCGTCATGCGGCGCACGATTTTGGCCATACATTTGTCCGGGTGCCAGAGCCGCAGCATGTCTCGCACGGCCCGACGCCGTTCGGTGCCGTTCTCGGCGCCGGCCTCCACCAGCCGGCGCGTCTCCTGCAGGGTGATGTTGCCGAGCACGCGGAAGTCGGCCGTCACCAGCGGGCCGTCCTCCGAGTGCACCAGGTGGTGCAGCGACCGGTAGCGGCGCACCACCTTGGACAGCTTGGCGGAGGCGCCCTTGGGCGTCTGGCCGAGCCGCTGGCGAGCCTCGTCCCGCGCCCGGCGGCGCGCCTCCTCGTCTTTCTGGCGCTGCTCCTCGGCCTCACGGAAGCGTCGCGCGCGCTCCTGCTCCTGCTCGTGCTGCCGGCGCCGCTCGGCCTCCTCGGCGCGGCGCCGCTCACGCGCCTGCTCCTCGCGCTCGCGGCGCTGGCGGCGCTTCTCGGCCGGTGACGGCGGCGCTGGACTGGAGCGGCCGCGCGCGCCGTGCTCGCCGCGGATCCGCTCCGACCACGAGTCAATGTCCTCGGCGTCATCAGACAGGTACTCGGAGAAATCTGCAACGGTGCCGCAACCGTTAACAAATCGCATATCACGCGCTGAGGAGGACTTACGTCCAGAAGCGCCGCAAGGCTAACATTAAAGGGACTATCCCACCTTTTAAAATGTTGTTAAAACCAGTTAAATTGTGCCCGACTTTATAGATTGGATGACCAGGAACACGGTTCTGGCATTTATTTTTCATTAAACATCTTAGGCTTCCCATATTCCAAACACAAACTTTCAAATATGTGACGTCACAACCGAAAATTACCTCCTTCCCCAGGCCACATTACTGTCATAAAGCTGATTCTTTTTACTCTGTAGGCACCACAACAAAGTTCAGACCAAGTTTTAAGCGATTTTTCAACGAACAAACCCATTTAAATCAGAATGACTAAACGAGGTGACGTCACACTAACGGTCGCTCCATATTGAAGATAGGGCCTTGTACAAGGCCCATTTTCAAATGAAGGGAACGAATTTCTTCAACACCAAGAGGCCGCGGGGGTTGCAACCTAGATAGATAGTGGTTTCTGAACCTCGCCACAAACTTGGCTATCTCAACTCAAACCCCATGTTAAAGGTGGGATAGTCCCTTTAAACGGTGCTGTGGTTTTTAGAACAACCTTTATCGCAATAACAAATACTTGTTTGATTGTTTGTTTGTTTGTTTGTTTATTGAGGCTTTAGGACGTGCCTACTATACAGGTCATTAACCCTCGCCCGCACATGGGGGGGGGTGGTTGCCACCCCCCCCCCCCAGGCAGTCTTTCTGCTCTGCACTCAACATTTTTAGAGCTAGAAGGCTGATTTTTCGTATAGCTGCTCGACTATCCTTTCTTGATGTCCACTGAAAATTTCAAGTTTCTGTGATTTTTGGTTTCGGAGATATGACCTTGTTTTTCAGGTCATGTCATGACCCAAATGGCCAATTCTCAACATCTTGCGTTTGCCATGGGCCTTGTGAGCTTTTGACACCCTGATTTCGGCCTTTTTTGCCAGTCTTACCTCCCACCTATCATGGAACATGTTGTTCGACGATGTACAGGGGTCAAGGTCAGGGTCAAGGTCAACCTAGGTCATCTAAGATAATTGCGTTTTAGGCAAGCTGAATTTACTTTTTGTGAAGTTTTTTTTACTGCATTTTTGGTAAAAGCTTCTCAGATCATGATTTCATGTGATATGGACCCAAAAACAATCGGTGCACACATCAATATACACACAGACACACACAGACATACAAACACATATAATTGACCTTGACCTAACTTGACCTGAAATGACCTCAGCAGCAAAATTCTGGTCGGATAGTGTGACAAAGAGGTTCTAGCTGGCTTGGCACCAGAAAACAGCATCGTCATCGGTATTTGATAAGCAGCGCACTTGATATCCAACGGTGACCCAAAACAGCAACATTTTTTAGTTTGACCTGACCTGGAAGGTCAATGACTGACCTGAGAAGGTAAAACTGGGTATCATTGGATTCGTCTCTTCCCAAAGAATCTTTTTGGTCTTTACTGCTAAGCTCTATCTCCAACAGGAGCGAAATGGCGCGGGGGGGGTGGCAACCACCCCCCCCCCCCCATGTGCGTTCTAGGATGGGAAAATGGCATGTGCGGGCGAGGGTTAAGCGCCCATAACAAATACCCGCGTTTCCTCACCTTTGTCATATTTATCAAATCTGCTGTTTTCGTATTGCATTTCTTCCCAGATTTTCTCGTGCCAGGCGTCGGGCGGCGGCCGGCCGGTGGGTGGCACCGTGCCCAGCTGGGCGCGCACCATGTCGGCACACACGCTGTGAGCGGAGAGAACGTGCAGCGGCGTACGACCGTCCTTGTCGGGCGCGTGCAGACAGTCGACACAGTCCTCGATCATCGGCTGGATGATGTTCTGAAACACTGAGTGGTACACGCAGAACGCAGAATCAGGTGGTGGACAATGGTCACACATGAATAGTCGTTGATAGTGAAGCAGAGCGTATTATGTTCACCGATTCTAGTTGCATAAATGGGTTCCGTCGGCTTTAGGCTCTGTCAGAAAAGCACTCAAATTTGATATTGCAAATAGCACTGTCGCCAATTCCTAAAGGCGCCTTTGAGTCAACTAATACTTACACATTGATGCGCAAGCCGTCAATGATTATTAGAAGAAAAAAAAAAACAGCCAAGGTATGAAGTAGCATAGCTTACCAGACATTTTTGAAGTTTTGATCAGGTTGATGGCAGCGTAGTGGCAGGGTGTTCTGCCGTGCTTGTCTTTGGCAAGGTAACAGCTGGGTCGGGCGCCCCTCCGAACGGCCCAGAACACATTCTCGGCCGCCATCTTGCACACCAGATGCAGGAGCGTCCCGCCGTCTTTTTCCACCACAGAGTCCGCCGACAGCTTGTTGGTCGTCAGAAACGTCTGTGTTCGAAGAACCTTGTCCTTCTTCAAATCTTCAATTAGTTTTGCCAAGTCTTTCTTGCTAATCATATTGGCACCTGAAAAACAATGTTTCCAATGCATTTTAATAGGGAACTCCCACACCCAGAAGCTTCAATAGGGGAGCCAATCAGATGTAAGTAAGGGAGTGATCAGTGAAATATACATTGAGTGAGCTAGAAAAAAAGAGGGAGAGATTGAGAGAGGGTTGGAGGAAGAGAGAAGGGAGGGAGGGAGGAGAGAGAAAAGGAAAAGGGAAATAGACAAGAAAGAACAACAGAAAAATGGAGAGTAGGATACCTGATTCCACACTTCTCCCTATCCCTAGCCCCCCAGTCTTAGTGCGGAATGCAGATAAATGTGGATGACCAGACTGCAAAGTGAAAGCATGGCAACACTGTCAACGCAACGAGCACACCAGCTAGCGTTATAAATACACATTAGCCCAAGCCAAACAGACTGAACATCCACAGTCCACAGTCCACAAACTGGAACAAGTTCTTCAGTTTTTACCACAAAAGGTGGCAATACCTAACCCACAATGGACTGAGGGAGGAAGGCGGCTTTAACCAGCGCATGACTGAGGTATTTTCCATAACGCAGCCGACTGGGGGGGGGGGGCTCTACAGAGCCCCCCCCTCCTATCTCCGAAACAATGGGCCGATTGTCAAAATTCAAACGGCGGCTGATGGCCCTGGACTGTCTGGACAACCGTCGAGCTAAACCTAATTTCATTGACCTCAAGGTCACCAATGACGTCACAGGTCAGGTCAAAGTAAAAATTATCCGCATTTTGGCTTGTTCACATTTTAGGCTCTGGGCCTGGCCGCCGGCTAACACGTCCGATCAGGCTCATTTTTGGTTTGCGCACTCATTGATATGTGCCGAAGATCCCCTGAGGGTAATTAACTTGGACTTTGAATTTTTCATGTCAAGGCCAGGTCACCCTGGGTCACATAAATTTTATGCCATGTATCGGTCACGTGACACGTTAATGGTCCATATCACTCATATATTTCAAAAACAGTATCGTCTAAGTCATTTGAGGTCATTTTCAGCTGAATTTAGCAGAGGTCTGATCACTTTAGGTCAAAAAAGGTCAATTTTTTTTAAATGAAATTTTTGGAAGCCCAATAGTCAATACCACAATACGCGTAGCGCACTGTAGCGTCGTGCCGTGAAACAAGGCTCGGGCCGGTAGTTCCGGAACCACAAAAATCGGCGGAGCGGTATGTTCGAGGCTGGCGGGCGCCGGTGAGGACCAGACAGCGGAGCAGAACGTGCTCTAGCAGTTAGCACATCAGCCCTTTGGGCATATGGCCTTGCTTTGGGCGGGCACAGCTTGTACGGGCACTGCTGGCATGTCGCAGAAGGGAGACAGCCGATTCGGCGTACGTACTGGAGCGAGCGGCCCCAGTGACCCGCCCTCATCTGGTGCACCGAAACGGCGTCCTCTCGGTCTCTCCCGGGATGGGGAGCGGCAAAGTGGTCCCCCGAACGTGGATTGACGCAAGGCTGCACAGTGAAAGGGCCGAGTTAGCGAGCGGGCATCCGGGGGCAGGGCGGTTGCTTGTTTCGCCGGGTTGTCCGCTCTCTCGTTCCCCTCGATCCCGCAGTGGGCAGAAGCCCACTGCAGGATTACTTCAAGACACCTGGCGATGTTCAGCAAGGTATTCCTTACCTATCTCCGCGCAGAGGGTGGAGGCCTCACCTGGACAGCCGCTCCTTCACTGAGAAGACTCGGGGCGGCTCGCGATTCGGAGCACTCGACGGTCGGGGTGAGGGACGTCTTGTCCTGAACTCTTTTCAGAGCCGTTCGCAGGGCGAATCTGCTGCTAGATTGGCTAGCGTGCCGAAAAATTTGGTGACCACCAGGCACCAGCCGCCTATAAATTCTATTGCCGCCCTGCGCCAAAAAAGTAAGCTGCCACCATGCACTGAATTTGGCACATGTGATGTTACGCCGGACGTGCGCTGAAATTTTCAGCGCGATCCCGCCATTACACTGGACATACCTATTCAGCATAACGTGTATATTTTCCAGTCTGGTTCTCCACCACTGAGATCAGGAGTACGATGGTCCTATTCATACTGCTGAACGATGTCAAAAACATAGGTACTGAAAAATAAATTTGAAAATTTGAAAAAAATTGTCAAATTTTGACTATAAAGCATATAACTCAGCCATTTTTGAAGATATTAGACTAAAACATTCTAGAGTAGGTCATCACTCATTGATGGGAGTACTTTTACATATATCCCGTCAGCCGTCTTTTTCATAAAAAAACAAAGTTTTTTAACAAAAACGGCAAATAAATTTTTATATGTGAATTACCTAGCATTTTATGAATAAGTAAAGCAGGCATCACAACACACTTATTTTTGGCAACCAAGGAGAGGTGCTGTAGGTAAGGTTGTAGGTTTTAGGTTGTAGGCTCAAGATTGTAGGTTGAGGTAAGGTTAGGCCAGGTCAGTAAGCGGAACTATGGTCAAGCGTACCCATTTTCGGGAACGCATTTTCGTTCCCATGTTTGGGAACGATAAACCCAAATATGGGAACGCCATGTAGGCATTATTTAAAACAAGAAAAAGAACCGTTAGATGACGTCCAAAAAATATAAAACGATCGTGAACCACCTGATATTTGTCTCAATATTGTTGGGAAAGAGTTTGATATTGTAAGGCCCATCGTAGTTTCAAATCGTTCCCCTATTTGTAAAGCAGTCCATCATCCGGGCCGCGAGCCCAAATTTGGGAACGCTCTCGTACACTGGCGCTGCAAGCGTTCCTTATTATGGGAACGGCGTACCCAAAATTGGGAACGATTTCACCGACGCCTTTCAGGGGCTCTTTTCATTAACAAGCATCACGTCCAACGCCGCAAATTATTGTTAACGCAACAATCATCAGATGACCTTTCCGGCAAGACCGTCGCATGTTTCGCCCGGTCTTCTGCGCTTTTATTCCCGTCGATCTCGCAGCGGGCACGCCCCCCTCTGCAGGATTACGTAATTCACAACGCTCAGCGATGTTCAACAAGGTCTTCCATATCTATATCCACCGTCCGCGCCGAGGGTGGAGACATGTCAAGCACCTGTCTGTTTATCACCGATAGTTGACGAGCACAAGGGAGTATCCAAAAATGGGAACGCTGAATATGTTACACCCTCAAAACACCTAGTCCCAATGAAAATCTAGTTTTTTCCTTTCTTGATGAGTGTAAGTGGCAAAAGGCCTGGTAGGATGGGCACGAGGAATGATCGAAATCAGCATAAAAATTATAAATAAACCACACAGAGCGACCTATATAAGAGAAATTCCCCCAAAACGATCACGCTTAGAAACACGGAAGACAAAAACCACGCTCATGACGCTCCTTATAAAACAACTCTAAACAACTAGCATCCAAATAAAATATGTCTATCTGGGATGATATAATACAGCTGAATAATTTTAAACCACTGAAACTAAGTTTACAACAGTAGTTCGGTAAAATCACTGACGTTCCATGCGGTCGTGCGCCCCGACACCAAATGTCACCAATATTACCCCCGGACTGTCCGTATGTTCGCTTGCATATGTCAGCATCTGGTGTCGCTAGTATGAAACTTCATAACCAGGCGAAAATTATTATACTTGACCTCAAAATGTAAAAACCGCTTCATTTTCCTTAAAATTGCAAGTTAAATGTAGTATAACCCATGTTTTCAGCATTCCGTCATTTCAAAAAATCATTAAAAATATCATTCGACGGTCAATTTCCTTGTGCAACGGTCAGATTAAAGATAATTTTATAGAGACTTAGTAGATACTTAAATTAGCGTGCACTTTTTTTAGACGTGATGCACTAATGAGTTTTAGTGGGCGAACGGCCAAAAAATTACCTTCCGTTCCCATAAATGGGAACGCCCGTTCCCATATTTGGGAACTCCGTTCCCAAAAATGGGAACGTTCCTATATTTGGGTACTCATGACCATAGTTCCGCCTACTGAGGTGGTATTTATTTACTTTAGGTCCGCACAACAGAGGGGTAAATAAGTCATTCCTAAAGTAAATATTTACCGGTCCCGTTTGGTTACGTTTGGTTTGATTCAGATTAGAAAGGATCTCTGGGTATAGCGCCTCTTCTTGGTTGCAAAAAACAAGCGTGACGCCTGCATTACGACTACCCCTTCCCCTAAAGCATTTCAGTCCCACGCACAAGGGGGAAAAGCTCAAATTATTGAGCGCTCAAAAAATTGAGCGGGCCCCATTATGAAGGAATAGGCGAAACGATGGTATTTTACAATGCCTCTAGCGTCACACTACGGCAAATATCGTATCCAAATAAGGTATCAATGGCAAGAGAGAGCAACAAGGTTTCTTCTCGAACACTCGCCGTGATAATTTATATCGGTGTTTTTGGAAAGAAAATGCCCTAAAGACGCTCAACTTATTGAGCGCCACTTGTCGTTCGGGACCGCGATACTCAATAAATTGAGCGCCACGACAGACGACAGTCAGCTGGCGCTCAAAAAATTGAGTGCCGGCCAGCATCTACACTCAATTTATTGAGCCTTCTCCGTGGCAGGTGAAGCCGGTACAGGCTGCCATTTTTGATGTTATGTTCGTTGAAATACGTTAAACTGAGTTGAAACAGAAATGCAGGAAGTTGAATGCTACGTGGTACCTAAACTTTTCACAAACCCATGGCATCATGTCACATTTTCCGCTAGTAGTTTTATCGGTCGCCTTTCGGATTCGGCACACCTCAAATAAATATATAGGGCTTGAATAATCCGTATGAATACTGTATTGATATTTTCTGACTGTACTGGGAGAAGGGAATACGTGATTACAGAAAGATATCCACCCACGCTTGAATATTGGAGAATTATACAGGAAAAACTGTATTGCCACGGTTACAACTTACAAGGCCATCGGCCGCAAACAAACAAAAATACTATACAATGTGGGTTAGATTCACAAACATCATCAAGTGTGGAACACAGAGACGAGCAAAACAACATCACATTATCGCATGCCAGCCCGACCACATTGGAACCGGGTGACCTGCGACCGGAACCTGCGTCTTGCCAGCATACATCACAAAAGCAGGAGGCAGTGTCGTACTGCTTTGATCCAAAATATGCCATATAACAAATGATATAAACGACCTAAGCTCGGACTAAGCTTATCATTATCAAATCCTTAACATGTAAAAGACGAATGGAAACATCGAGTCTCAGACCAGCAGTAGCAACCATCACAGTAGCAACATCACAAAGAACACGCGGCATTATCAGACAGCCGTTTTGTTATCGGGCTACAGGCGGCGACGGCGTGGTTGCAGACCAGCTGCGAGGTAGCGGCGTGCGGGCAAAAGGCGCGGGCACACCTCCATGTGGCCGTGCGGACAGTGCGCGGTCGGCGTCGCATAGTGGGCGGCATCGGGCTGTCCCGGGGCCGTCGAAGCCGCACAGGTTGTCGGCGCATGTGGGCGCGCGCGGTCACCACGGCCAGCTGCTCACCACCAGCACAGACTGCGCAGCGTCGCCGCTCCGCCGGCCAGAACACGCAGACAACCCTTCTTGCAGTCGCACATGACGTAGCCAAACTCATTCACCTGCTCCACCATGTTGTTGATGTCACCGAGTCGTTCAAGTTGTGGCTCGTGCCGTCGAGCATGACCTGCCCGATCGGACACGGGTCAGCGGCTTCTGCTCCAGCGAAGTCTTCATCTTGGTGACGTCTTGCTGATCTCCACAAAGGCTGAGCAGATGACCTTACCCACAGGGACGGCCGACGTCCTCGCCAGCGAGCGCTTGGTTGTGCAGACCTGCCAGAAAAAGAAAAGCTGTTTAGTGTTTGGTGATCTCAAACGATTTTTTTTCTTTATGCAGTGGAACAAAATGGAAAATATGTCATACAACAGGAACTAAAAAAAGATGCAGCCTAGGTCGTCTAAGAAATGGGTGCAACATTGATAAAATTCTTCCTTGAATGAATTCTACAAATGCTTTTGATAAAATGTGTGGTGATTATAAGGAGACCACTTTACTATAAAATTGCTCAGGATTCCCTATCTGGACCTGTCAAAAAATCCTGACTGCACACCAACAATGAGCATTAAATCCGAAACCTCTACCAGGTACCTAGGGATAATTAAATTCTGATTCAGAATCAGGAAAATATTTCACATCATACAAATAAAAACCTTTACTACATTGAAACTGAAAATGTGATGCCGATCCAGTGACCTAAGGGTCTCAAAGTATAATAATGAATTAATCTATTATAAATTTGGTGGTGACTGCCAACTGGCGTCTGGCAGCCTAGACCTTGAGGCTTGAAAGTGGCCCTCCTTTTCCGTTGACTCCGATCCTCCAGATGGAAATGATATAAAGGATCATTTTTATCTTATTTCAAATGAGCCAGTCAGCAAAGTGGCTATCCTGTTTCAGCATTCACACACACAATAGTTGACTGTCAGTCTGTCATGCTGTCAGTGTTGTGAAGTAACGAAGGAGTTGAGTTTTGTTGATTATAAATTGTGATGTTATGTAAAGGACTGGAAAATGAATGTGAAAACTATGGAAACATATTGGCAGAGTATTGTCACTTACTATCAGGACATATGGATAGAGAATACATTCAAATTAATAAGAAATGCCAAATATCAAGGTACTCAATCACTGATAGCAGTGGACTATCATATGTTTTAATGTCAATTATATGAAAGTTAAGACTGAAACTACCTTTTATTTCATCATACCTAATGAAAAATTGTGTGAAGAAAACATTCACAGCCTCTTTGAAGCACTTAGACCACTAAAAAACAAAAATTTTCACGTAAATATGTTGTGTCTCTTTCCCTCAAAACATCATATCGGATGGCGCCACTTTCGTCGACAGTTACTTATCTGCACGCAAATCGAGGAAAACGTGAATTGATTGACGTTTACGTGTTTCCAAATTTAAAATCACAGCATATTCAAACTTTTCAGTGTACCTTTTAACATCTAAATATAACTAAAACGATAAAAACTTACCTTCAACACAAGGACGACGACAACCACGCGAACGGAGACGTCGCGACGAAATAAACAAACGGCGCCGCCAA